GCACCGCCGCTGCCACCACTGCTGCCTGCGGGGTGCTCTTGGCAGCCAGCGGCACCACCGCTGCCACCGCCTCTGCCTGCGGGGTGCTCTTGGCAGCCGGCGGCACTGCACTTACTGTAGTTTTCTTTTCAGGTGACGGCACATTTTCACACTTGCTTTCCTTAGGTGGATTTGAGCAAGGCTTCTCTCCCGACTCTTTTTCAGATGAAGATGGATTTTGCTCAGTAGTATTTTCGGCATTAGCAGGTTTTCCTTCTGTTTCTATGCCTGATGCTGTGACCATTTCTTGATTTGAACTGCAAATTGACTGGGAGCTTTCTGGATCTTTGCTAGTATCTTTTTCCTGCTTTTTTGGCAATGTGCTCTCTGTTTCCTTTGGGGCTTCTGCCTTGGTTGTTTTCACATCCTTTCCAGTATCCTTAGAATCTTTGCTTCTCTCAACAGCTCGCTTCTTGGAGGGCTCCTCTACCCCTTCTGCAAAACAAGTAAAGTATGTTATCCTCTTTAATTTCTGCACTATGAAATATCCATCTAGAGACGATTTGTCTATTTTCTAAAAACTCCTAGCAATCATCTCTGTGAATTTAAAAGTTACATATTAGGAATGCACCGTGAACTGCAATTTCAAGTATTAACCTACTGTTTCAGAATAGTTTAGTATTTTTTCACAAAAAACTAAAAACACTGAGGTGCAAGATTTCAGGTTTTGGTTTGGGACCTGTAGGCAAGTATGTATTTGTATTCTCGAAGTCCAAACCAAAAATGACCAAAGTACATTAAATAAAGACTATTTGACAAAAAAAAAAAAAGTATTTTGTCTACTAATATCATAAAAACATTTTAAAAATACAACTTTAAGAGCTTCTTTAAGAAATTAAGTTTCTCACAAAGCAACAACATCTGATTAGCACTAAAGGCAAAGTAACAAGAATACATTTGAGCTGGAGTACAACAGTCTACATCGCATTAAAAAAATAATCAGCTTAAAGTGCACCAGCTGTAGAAACTCAAAACGAGCTCTACGTTACCAACGGAATACTTAGGCATTACATCTATTTTACAGGTATTATATGAGGAAAAAATAGCAGAGAAAGGGGAAACGATTAGCAAGGAGTTTTACAAGTAAATTATTTCGACTACTTTCTAAGCCCGAGGTAAACGGAGAACATTCAAAAACAAGCATTTTCTAGACTCCTATGTATTGTCACAGCTATGATCTGCTAACCATTGCTACTTGATATGCCTCTTTTCTTCACCTTGGCAACCAGTTCATCTCTCGTGGTGCGGACAGGCGCGCCGGTCACTTGGATGCCTTCGGCCATTTCCAGCGCCTTCTCCATGACCTGCGGCGGGTACCTGGAGGGGCGACAAGGGGAAAGGAGGGCAGCGGGTCAGGCGGCCGGGCCGCCGCCGCGGGGCCCGCCGCCCCGGCCCGCACTCACCGGCAGCCCAGGAAGACGTGGTTGGCCCAGACCATGGAGAGGGACACCAGGCGCTGGAGCTGGGCGCTGCCCGCCGCCGGCGGCTCCCCCACGTTGCGCAGCAGGAAC